TCTGCCAAAATGACTGGCCAGGGCTTCGAGCCATTTTCTGTCGACTTCATCAAATCCAGATGGCTGGGTGCAGTCAATGTCGATTATAGCAACGGTCTGATAAAGTGACTCTCTTAGTTACGCACAAATATATTTCGAGCCGTGTTGCCACAAATTCACGGACTAATGTTCAATATATGCATGGTTACGCTGAGGGGAAATAGGACTCACCTCTCCATTCACCAAAATGGGGACAACAATTTCACTTTTACTCTCGGCATCACAGGCAATATGGCCCTCCCAGTTGAACACGTCTGGCACCAACACTGTCTCTTGCTTTTCAGCTGCTGTCCCGCACACCCCTCGCCCAAATTGGATCAACTGGCATGCGGGTTTTCCATGGAAAGGGTCCAGTAGCAGGGCTTGAGTGCCTGGCGTTTCCTTGGTATTTGAGCCGGCAGAAACCAAAGATGGAAATCTATCTTGCCGGACGTAGAAACCAGCCCAATTCACGGCAGAAGAGGGTGCGGGGAGAGCAGCATATGCATGCCACAACAAGGAAGAAACATTGGCAAGGTTGCTGTATCCACAGTGAGGAGTGGCTCAATTGCAATGTCTCCAAGGATGCAGTTAGATGCAGTTAGATGCAGGCGTACCTCACCTGAATTATTTTCGTATAAGTTTTCTTGTTAGTATATGTTATCTGGTATATTGCCGTCAACGGACTAGAATAGATGGAGATATATCGGTGGCAGCTAGGAAAAATATACCCAATTCCGTTGACCATCTAGCAAGCCTTTTGCTTGTTCGAGGACCTGACTATAAACTTCTGTTTTTGTCAAGCCAGGCGCGAAATACGACGAATCTGCGTGCGGCTACGTGTATTTGTTGTCTCCGTTAGATCAGGGGTTTCCAAATCTCGAAGGCCTTCAGGCTAGGTGTGGCATACCATGTTTACGATGGTTAGGATGGCAACAAGAGAAAGCGACAATAATGGAATTTATATTGGAGGACTGTGATATTACAATAGGTATATATAGCAGGAATGATGAGTGAGGATGTTGGATAGCGAAGTGGACATTGTGTAACCTTAGCCTTTAGATTAGATAACCTTAAATAGTTAGTTAACTAGTTAACTATAGTTAGTTAGAGTAGTTAGTTTAATTTAATAGCATGCAAACATTGGTTTTGCTGACAGAATAGTATATTGTGGTTACTGAACAGTGCACTGATGGTGTCAAGAAGTCCTGCACTGTTTCAATGCCATCTTGACATTGAATTATCAGCGATGTGTCACTGATATCAATGGTAGAACATGTGTTGTGAGCGGCGACACATGACAGGCGTGGATCCCCATAAATTAACCCTACGTTCTTCCGGTATGGTCTTTATCTTTGTTGCACATGGCGCGATGCCTGGATTTATCCCTACTCTTCGCTGAACATTTTATGCTCCAGTTGCAAATACTATCTGCATGATGTTTATCGAACGCCGCCTTCTCCGTGGGGTGACTACTTATTCTGCCGTTGTGAGAGTGATATCTCCTCAAACTGACATATTTTTGACGAGCGGACAAAATTCTTTGCCCTCATCCACGAATCCCGGACGGAGATCGAATCTACTGTTGCATATCATCTTGGTCTCGAGTCGTCAAAACAATGCCACGTTGAGGAAATGGCACAGTGGATACACGGCACTTTTAACGTTTGTGTCCCTGTTCGAATTGAACCTTCTCAAGACCGGGTAAATATAAGGTTTACGCTGCCATATCGCAACGGAGAAAAAGTTTTCCCTGGGAACGCCGATGAGAAAGTCCGTTGTGAAGCTGGGGCGTATGCGTGGTTACAGCAGGAGTGTCCATCTATCCCAATTCCGTATTTACATGGCTTCTGCTTATCGAACGGTCTACATGTTCGTCGGATCTCTGAACTTCCTAAATTTTCTCTTACTGACTGATCTTTACTACAGTTTAGATCTGTGAGAAATTTTCCCTGGTTATCTCGATGGGCGCAGAAGCTCCGCCAGGCCCTGTTGTCGATGTGGCACCGCCAGCGACCCTCCAACTATATCCAGACCCACACCTTAACGCTTCCAAATTCAATTGGGTCATATTTGGTGATGAATTATATTGTAAGAGTCAGAAGGACAAATGCTGTCTGAAACATGGGACGAGTATCGGTAAGATAAAAAGCGTCTTACGAATCTCTTCCATGAGTCGAATCAAATTGCCAAAACTTGGATCTTCGATTATCGATGATACCGGCTTTCTCAGGTTGGCGAATCGACCACTTACCTCGATGCTTTAAGAATTAGAAAATGCAGGGGTTCCAATTCACATTGCGAGGGACCGCACCTTCACAAGTGTAATTGCATACGTCGCTGATCTCCTCGCATATCATGACAATCAGCTTCGACAAAACGCAAATGCTGTCAAGGGCTTAGGTGACTGTGTCAGTCAAATGTGTGCGCTAACAATCATGAAAGCTGTAGCACCACAATTTTATAATCATGACTATGACACTGGTCCGTTTGTATTCTCCTTGACTGATCTACACCAAAGCAATATCTTTGTCGACAAAGACTGGAACGTAACCTATATAATCGACCTGGAATGGGCTGCTTCCCTTCCTGTTGAGTTCATCCAGCTGCCGCATTGGTTGGCTGGCAAAGAGGTTGATGGAATCGAACTGGACCTTTACACCGCCTACCTTGAAGAATATGTGGGCATTCTGAGAGAGGCGAGAAGAAGGTGGACGAAGCTGGGAGTCATCCATTTAAGTTGTCTCACACTATAGATTCCGGGTGGAAGGTGAGAACATTTTGGTTTAACCTCGCTCTGCGGAGTCCGCCTGCAATGCATTCACTGTTCTACAACAGGATCCAACCTCGGTTCGCCTCGCAACACTTGAAGGATCAGGAATTTATAAGGTTGTCGCATTTTACTGGTGTCGCGAAGCCAGAGCCTTCATTCGGACAAAGTGCAATGAAAAAAAAAAAAAAAAAAAAAAAAAAAAATCTAGAAATCCATCCATCTGAAAAGAATAAGAGTGACTGCGACGTCGAAAAGGACTTTATTTTATGATATATGATATATGGGTATTGTAACAACTATCGTATACACACACGAGTGACAAGACGCAGAAGTTTTAATGGTAGGGAGGATAATGCACTCGAACACACAGCAACAAACCCCCAGAAGAGTAAAGACAAATACAAAATACAAAA